TGAAATGCCCTCAGGATTTGTCCTGAGATCCTGTACCTCAGATTGCAGAACCTTTGTCAGTGCAGCCATGTGGATGAGTCACGGCCATTGCTTGGCCAATGTGCTCTCTGTGAAAGCCTGAGAGAGTGTCTTCTCCCCATGTGACTCTCCTTAGGCCCACTCTTTGTCATCGATGTGGTGACCTTTTCGACATATGCTTGTCGTTTTATTTTTGTTTGAACACTTGCTTTCTGGCACTATAAAATGCTCTATTGGGCCGGCCAGATAGCTCAGTGGACTAAAGTGCCTGCTTAGGCAGAATGCAGCTCCTGGGGTTCGATCTCCGGCATGTGCCTTACAGGCCTGCCCCTGGGGCAAACTGAGAGGGCGCTTGAGACTGGGCGTGGCGGTACGCGAGTAATCCCAGCACTTGGGAGATTAAAAACAGAAGAATCACTCACTATGAGTCCGGTCTATGCAGTGAGAACCTGCATGCCCTGTACCAAATACATGAAAAAAAGAATGCTCTTTGCCTATTTTATATTCCTGCTCCCCATATCCTACCCTAGAATCATTCCTAGAATTGCTTATTTCTGTAAGAAGCCCTGGTTCCTTTTATTGGAAAATGGTAGTTGAAATCAATGCTGTTTGAAAACCAGATGATTTTTTTTTTTTTTTTTTTTTTTTTTGCAGCACCGGGGATTGAACTCAGGCCCTTGGGCTTGCCAGGAAAGTGCTTATTCTCCACTGAGCCATTTCCCCGGCCCCTAGATGAGTTTTAATTGTATTTCTAAACTATACTTTGCATTTTCATGACTTTTAAAATGGGACACATCTTAGAAATTAAGTGCATAGCTTTGTAGTCTTTGGATTTGGGCTCACATCCCTTATCTGGTACTAAAAATATCATCTTGGGAAACAACTAATTTAAGTCTATAAACTATTTTGGCTATGGGTAGTATATACTTGGAAGCTCAGATTTTTTTCTTTTTCTTTTTCTTTTTTTTTTTTGCCAGCTCAGCCTGCCCTCAGGGTGGGGCAGGGCTGGCATGGCTGGGGATGGAACCAAGGTCCTCTGTACCTGCCTAAACTTGCCTAAGCAGCCACTTTAGATCACTGAGCTATCTTGCCGGCTGAGTAGTGTATACTTTGTAAGATTGTTCTGAGGATTAAGAGAGAGTACACTTAGCTGCTCAGTACACCTGACCTGACTGGTGGCACATGGTCAGTTCCTGGCAATAAAGGTGAATTACAATTCAACTTTCCTTGATGACTGAATCTTTGATGAACAGCAAGTGTTGTGGTATCCTGTTAACGGAAGAGTAGGGGAGCAGGGAGGCAAGGCTCGGCTAAATGTGTGCACATGCCTTTGGGAGCACAGGAGCTCTTCATCTTTTTTTTTGTTGTTTGTTTGTTTTATATTTTTTGTAATTGCTTTTCAGTTGAGGTTTATGGGTTTTTTATTTTATTTTATTTTTTTTGCGGGACCAGAGGTTGAACTCAGGCCCTTGCGCTTGCCAGGCAAGCGCTTATTCTACTGTGCTTTCTCCCCAGCCCGAGGTTTGTGTTTTGACTTTGGTGCTGAGGACAAAACCCAGGGCTTCCAGCTCACTGTGCACGTGTTGGACCACTGAGCCAGATCTCCAGCCCCCGGAGCACTTCATCTTACTTCTTGAGCCATGAATCTTTTTTGTAGAATTGGAGCAGTTGCTCATGGCCACTTGGTCTTCCGGGCAGTATGCAGTCCTTCTTTTTTGCTAAGTCTACCCAGACTCAGAGATTCACATTGTCTCCACGAGAGCACTTCTCAGGATCCCGCAGATCCTTTTCCTCCTCTTCACTTTTGTGCTGCCAGTCATCAGCCCTGTTGGGGACATTATTGTTGGGTCCCTTGTTTCTAAAGTCTGGCACCACCACCATCCCATCCTGAGATCTTATTCTCCTTCTGTCATTTTGCACAGATTGTTGAGTCATTGTGTGTATGGAAGAAGAAAGGAGGTTGTGGCAAACATTTTGCTCTTTCGCATTTTAAATGAATATCTTGTACATTCTAACGTCGCCTTGCACACTTCCTGCCTGATGACTTGGGTATACTAGCCTGCACTGACATTTCACATTTAGAACAATTTGCTTTTTAGTATAAATCACCTCCATAGGAAGGGGAACAGAAGAAAAGTAAATGCATTCTGACGCTTTAATTCTGCTTTTTTTGTGTGTGAGTTGTATAGTTCTGTAGCTGTGTTATTATTTTCTAATCTTTATTTATTTGGCATAAGTTCTTTCTATGCAGCTCAGGCTCATGGTGATCCTCCTGTCTCAGCCTCCCCAGCACTCACTGGGATTACAGGTGTATGCCACTATGTCCAGTGTTGATGGCCGACTTTGCACAGGGCTGGCATGGTATGCAGTACCAAGGATCAAACCAGGGTCCTTGCACTTGCCAGGCAGGCTTAGACCACCGAGCTATCTCCCCAGCCAAGCTTGTTATTTTTATTCCCTGTATAGTCCTGAACTTATTTTTCCATTGAGAAATACAGGAATGTCCTACGTTGAAGGAACAAAAAAACAGTTAACAAAGCTTTTATTGTGTGGAAGTAGATAATTGGTACTTTAAAAGTTTGTCCTTAATCTGCTTAATCTTTGGGATCACGATAAGCATTACTGAAAAAGGTTGTTTTATTCACAACTGAGGAAGCAGGCTTTACTCGGAATTGAGTTCTCAGTAGAGCCATAAATGTCTCTAGCATGAGAGGAATCACTTTTTTTCTCCAGTTCCATTCTGCCTTTTAACACTGACCACTTTAATAGTGTGCACTATGTTATAGCTTGTGTCTAGGTATTCCTCCGAAAGCCTCATGAAGTCATAGGGCTTTCTTGGAGGTGGCTGATTGATTCATGGTACAATGCTAGGATTAAGTGTAGGTGATTGCTAGATCAGTTCACTGATTAAATTGGCACCACCATAATCCCAGTAGACTGGATACAATATAAGGGATTAAAAGAGGCTTGCTCCTCCTTCTCTTGTTGCTTTTCCTGCCTTCTCCCACCATTGCCTTTCTGTCATGCCACCCTGCCTTGGAGCTAGTCAATTATGGACTGAAACCTCTGCAAACTATGAGCTAAATAAACCTTTCTCCTTTTTAACTTTGGGTGTCAAGTATTTTTTTCTCCACAATCTACTGCCTCCAACAATATTCTTAGTCTGATCCACTTACTCTTGCTGATCAAACTGTTGGGTTTTATATTAGCACTAGGTTAGATACCTGACAGAGCTGAACTGTGACATAAGAGAAGGGAACTACAGATTTTTATTTGCTATTAGGAAATATTTGGTAATTTCTTCCAGGGGAAAGTCAGAATTTTTTTTAGGCCCACATTCTCAATTTTTAAGAATCTTTGATGAAGGCAGGAAAGAGTGTTTCTTCCATGGTCTTTTCAGAGCTCAGAGCCTCAAAGTCTTGCCCCAGTCGTGCCTCTGGTGTTGGGGCACCTCCAGTGATATGTGGATCCACAGTGTTCGTGATTTCTTACTTTCACAAGCTGTGATCAGCTTCTTACAAGGGAAGGCGAGGTCCCTGCTGCACTGTAGGATGCAGGGACACTATGTGCTACCCCTTCCGGATCACTAAAGAAGAGTTTATCAACGCGGTGGAGAGACAGGGACCCAAAACTGTAGTAATGATTAAGATCCAAGCTTCGTTGGAAAATAGGACCTATTTCTTAGGAGATTCTTGACAGAATTCCTGGTTGGAGGCAGCAGGAGCTGGGCGGAAGACTGGACTGGAAACTTAGAGCATATAGAGAGTTTACTCCCGGTCTGCGGCTAATTTTCTGAGTGTGAATTTGAGCAAATCCCGTAATCTTCCCAGACAAGCGTTTCTTACATCTATAGACAAAGAATGTAGGCCATATGATCCCCCAAATCCCATTTGGCTTCTGTTTCTGGCATTTGTGTTTTATTAGAGAAAGAAGAAAAAGCATGTCATAGACCATATATCAGGAAGGATACGTGAAAACTGCCAGTCGACCAGTTCCCTTTCTGGTATTGCATTGTTCATATTACTGGGAGGATCATGATCTAAGCCACCAATTACTGAGGGTTTTCTACATGCTAAGCTCTACGCCAGCACTGTATAGGAGATATTTAGTTTAGTTCTTGCAAACACTGATAAACATTGCCACTGTGTTCCATTTACAGATGAGTAAACTGAGGTTTCAAATATTTAATTTATCCAAGGTTGCATAACTATGTTGTAGAGCCGTGAGTCTAACCGAGTCTGGTACTATGCCTGTGCTCCTGAACACTGTTTTTGGGACAGAGCTAGGCTCTGGGTCAAATCAGAGTCTGAATTCAAATTCTGACTCTGCTACTGTGAATATTGGGTAAGTTATCTGGTCACCTTTCAGCTTTCTGGTCTTTAGAAAGTGCTGAGAGTGAGATCCACCTTATAAGGTTGCTGTGAGGGTTAAAGGAGATTACCGGCCATCTCCTTAGAAAAGTGGCGGGCACAGCAAGCTCTAAGTAAGTACGAGTTTGCCGGTACTGCTGTTACCGCTCCGACTGTTGCTGCTGTCCTACACACACCAGCTGTGGGGCTGAGGGCGTCGCACAGCAGGTGCAGCCTCAGCTTCTGCAAGGATCTGAAACAAGGTGGTCTGTTTGGACACAGACAGTCTGTTGTGGCTGGCACACAGTGTGTAAGTGGGGAATGCGCTGGGTATGCTGGAGGCAGACAGAGGGGTACGGCAGGTGCCGGGCTCCTCCCCTGGGGGCCGTGTCTTATGGGGAGCTGTCCCCAAGGAGCCGGTGGATTAAGCTTCCGTGCCTCTTTTTCATCCAGGGGTGCCCCGAAGATGTGACATCCTCACTGTCTACAGCCCAGATGCCGAGGAATGGTGCCAGTACCTCCAAGACCTCTTCCTGTCCAGTCGGCAGGTCCGCACCCAGAAGATGCTGACGTACCGGCTGGGCCCGGACGCCGCCTTCTCGGCCGAGGACCTGCTGCTCTTCCTGGGCGCCCGCTGCGTGGTGGTGCTGCTCTCGGCGGGGCTGGCGGAGCACTTCTACAGGCCGGTGCTACTGCCCCTGCTGCAGAGAGCGCTGCACCCAGCACACCGCGTGGTGCGCCTGCTCTGCGGGGTGCAGGGCACCCCAGATCAGTTCCTGCCCTTCTTCCCCGACTGGGCCGACTGGCAGGAGCTCACCTGTGACGATGAGCCCGAGGCGTACGTGGCCGCGGTGAGGAAGGCCATTTCTGAAGGTAAGGGTTTCCTCCCTGCTGAGGCAGACCCCAGGCTCTGTGGCAAGGCACCTTTGACCGTAAGCCTGTACTTTATGTAGCCCAGCAGGTAGCTCCCAGGCCATGCAAGACTGCTCATGGCTACAGGTTTACAGCAGCGGATTTCTGGGGCAGGATAGTCTCTTCCACTGCTAGAGAAGAAGGGGACACTTTCCTTTGTGCTCTGTGTTGGGGGAGGGGGCTTTCTTTCTAGAATTTTCTATGCATCGGATGACAGGGGAACAAGGCTCCAGTGCAGGAGGCAGCGGAGACCTAGTTTGCTGTGGGTGCAAGGACCACCCCGCCAACCCTCCTGCTTGCAAGCTGCTTCCATTTTATCCTGGCATGATCTTAGCAGTTTTGTTGAAAAGGTGTCTCTGTGGGTGAAATGTGTATAGCAAACAACCTTCTTCTCAGCTTCCCTGATGTAGCTTTTGTCTTTTGAGCTGCTTCTCTATTTAGAATGGAAAGATTCCAGTGTTTTCTGCAAGGGCCAGTGACAGGGCCAGTGACTTCCCTGGCCCCATACGTGTGACACGCGCTCTGATTAGCAGTAGCAGAAGATGTGCTGCGCGATCCGTGCACGTGACAGCATCTGTTCCTCTCTTGGTTTTCTATTTTTGCCTCACTTGGGGCTGCATAGGCTGTACCTGCTGTCTGCTCTCTTGCTACTGGAGGTCTTATATACCTGACGCCAGCCAAGAAGCCTAGAAAAATATGGCCTTTTTTTGGGGGCAGAACCGGAGATTGAACTCAGGCCCCTGCGCTTGCCAGGGAAGCGCTTATTCTACTGAGTTATCTCCCCAGCTCCTTTTTGGTTTTTTTGAGACAGGGTCTCGCTGTGCAGTTCAGGCTGGCCTAGAGCTCACTTTGTAGCTCAGGCTGGTCTCGAATGTGCAACAATCCTTCTGCCTCATCCTCTCGAGTGTTGGGGTTCCAGGCGCGTGCCACCACGCCTGGCCCTAGGTCCATTTTAACAGCACCTCAGTGATCCCCGGGACTTGAGTGTTACTTTGCTCATTCACCCATTCATCTGATGAACTGCATCAAGAAGGTTTTCAAAAGGCAGTGTATGTTTTTCTTGGTGGTACATGCCTATAGTTACAGCATTCTGGGGGGCCGAAGCAGGAGATCACAAGTTCAAACTCAGCCTGGGAAATTTAGGATTAGGGAGACCTTATTTCAAAATAAAAAATAAAATTAAAAAGGGCTAGGGATGTAGTTCAGTGCAAAGGCCTTGGGTTCTATCTGTCCATCTGTCATCTGTCTATCTATCTATCTATCTATCTATCTATTTGTCTATGAAATGTAGCTTCTTTTGTCCCAAGAATAGGCTTTTCTAAACCAATAGAAATGACCGTATCTCTTAGTATAGTGAAAGCCGTTCTCACCTTGTAGTGCAGATAACCGATGCTCATGCAAAAGATGTCTCTCCTGAAATCTGGAGACCTGGGTTAGTCGTGTTTCCAGAGTTTGCTTATCTGTATTTTATTTTATTTTTTTCCCATAATTTTATTGAAAAACAAATAGCAATGAGACAGTTGCAAATCAAATCGGTAGGACAGTTTCAATAATTAACACACTGCATGCATTCTTCCTAGTGGTTAATTGCTGTACTTAACTGTATTTTAGAAGGACACAAGGATAGCAAAAGCCTCGGCTCCAAGGGACATGATTGCATTTCCTTGCTTTCGGGCCACTGTGATTTGCCCACAGAGAACTGAGACACAGCGGGGTGCTTCCACCACTGCAGTGGTCCGCTATGACTCTGAGGGCAGGCCACTGTGACCCACCAACTAATAATCGTTCAGAGCTCCGTGGACATATTGTCCCTATACTGGAACCCCATACTGTATACTCTAACAGATTGTTCTTTAAAATAGCATGGTGGTGAGATTTTTAAAAATAGACAGAAAAAGGGCTGTGGGTGTAGCTAATGGTAGCGTATAGTTAGCACGTGTGAAGCCCTTAGCTCAGTCCTCAGCACAAAAGAGAGAGAGAGAGAATAAGGAGAAGGGTTCTTTTAATATTTTTGGACATATCCAGCGGATAGATGGCTGAGTAAACTGATTTTTGCTAATGTTTATTTTTTTCTAAAGATTGCTACAGTATGCTGTGAACTTTTAGTTTCAAGTATTTTAGAAAGAATGAAATATTTCACAGTGATATTACTGCCCTGAGAGCAAATAAGCTCTCATCAGAAAGAGATTATTTTAATGAGGGATTAAAATAAGCTTCTTAGTGGGAAATTGCTGCAGTTTAGAGTCAATGGATATAAAGACAAATGGGATTACAAGAAAGAGAAGAGGAGGAAACTTAGATTAAAGGTGTTTACAGGTAGTCAGTTATACTTTAAACAAATGTTTCTCAAACTTCCATGTGCACCGGAAGACCTGCGGATCTTGTCAAAATGCATATTCCAACTCTGAACGTCTGTGTGCTGGGATAACAGGCACCTGCCATTGCACCCAGCGTGACAGTCCATGTTTTTAATAAACTGCCCGTGCTGCTGGTAAGGGTCGAGGCCACCTCTCCTTGTCAGTGGTCACGTACTTCTGTTGTGCATGAACCAAAACTCAACTCTCTACTTCCCTGGAAATGGAGGTAGTATTGTACCAGGGCAACCGCCAGATACCTGTTGATGTAGGTGTGAGATTAGACCAGGGTTGGATGGCCAGGCCTTCGAATGTCAGGGTAGATCCCCTAGTTCTCCTCCTCCACTCACAGGTTCAGTGTATTCACGCTGATAGCTGTTAATCTCTCAGCTTTCTGGGTGTAAGTGGTCTTGGCACTGGTGGGAGATCGCTGCCACTCGCCTGCTTACTCATCATTTAACAGTGCTGTTCCACTAAAGATGTTTCGAGGGTTTTACTGCCCACCCTCCTCTCCAAATTTGGCAGACACCTTACAATTGAATAGATGTTTTGATTAGAGTCTTCAGTGTGTTGCAGCAGCGAGTTTATTTTACAGGTTCTTCATCTGTAAAATGACGGGGTTCAACCAGATGATTTGGAGGGTTTCTCCCAACCCCTTGTGCTGTAACGTATCATTATAAGTTTCCTAGGAAGATGGCCTATTACCCAGAACCTTTCCACCGATTTTGTTTAGTTCCACAATGCCTGGAGTGATAGATACAAGTGTGGAGAGGACTGTACTATTGTTCTGAATTTCTCGGGCTTCTTGGGTAATTATTTTCAAATAAGGAAGTGAAAAACTCCCGGTACAGCAAAGTGCAGCAAACGTTTCCTCTTCTTACTGGAGGCCTATTCTTTGCTGTGTATCTCACTGGACTACAAAAATAGATTCTGTAAGACTGTGTGAGAAGGGACTCACTGTGTGATAGCAAGCTTTACTTTAAAAGTTCCTGTCCAACTTCTGTGGCGTCTGCCACGTGGAGGCTGAGGCAGGGTATTGCAATGTTCATGGCCAGCCTGGACAACATAGCAAGACTCTGTTTGATTTATTTATTTATTTTTCGCAGAACTGGGGATTGAACTCAGGCCCTTACTCTTGCCAGGGAAGCGCTTATTCCACTGAGCCATCTCCCCGGCCCAAGACTCTGTTTTGAAATTTAAAAAATAAAAATAGGGCCGGGGAGATGGCTCAGTAGAATAAGCACTTCCCTGGCAAGTACTGAGTTCAATCCCCAGTTCCACCAACAAAACAAAAAATAAAAATAAAGAAGGGCTGGGGACATAGTTCAGTGGTAGTGTCCCTGGTTCAATTCCCAGTACTGAAATATTTTTTTGCATCCATGTGCTGACGTGTGTGTGTGTGTGTGTGTGTGTGTGTGCGCGCACATGCGCAGGAAGGCTGAGGGTGGAGGGAAGCATAAAGCCTACTTCTCCCCTTCCATTTGTATTGCTGTGATGATCTCTTCTGCTTCTTTCTTTGCACTATTTTATACTTTCTTTCCTAGTTCCTCCCCATGCTCTGTGTCTCAGGAGGTCTTGGTGGTACTTAATTTAGAAAGAATCATTTCTGTATGTGGTACAGCGCCTCACTATGCAGCTTAGACTCATAGTGATCCTCCTGTCTCAACCTGCCCAGTGCTGGGATTACAGGCCTGCACCACCACGCCTGCTTTCAGTGGCTGGTTCAGAGCACAGCATATAGTACCAGGGGTTGAACCTGGGTCCTTGAGCTTGCCAGGCAGGCACTTAGACAGCTGAGCTACCTCCCCAGCCCCTGGTGGCTCTTATATTTAAAATGTATTTTCTCTCTGGTTCCCTTGGGAAAATTGAATAGGCAGATGTCCACATCTGGCCTTCCTTTGTTGATGTTAGTTTTCTAATCTTAACATTAAACTGGAGCTTAAAAGAAAAACAGTGGGTATTTTCAAAATGCTTTCAGCTGATCAATGGACCCTACCAAAATCTTTTCCTAAGCCTAATTGTATTTTTTCCATTTTATTGAGGTATAATAGACAAATAAAAATTGAATATATGCAAGGTATATAATGCAATGGTAGGAAATAAGTACATTGTGAAGTGATTACCACAGTCAAATGAATAAACAAATCCACAACCACCGCGGTTGCCATTGTGCGTGTGTGCGTGTGTGTGTGTGTGTGTGCGCATGTATGTGTGTAGTGAGGACAGGTGTTGTGCTTGTTCTCGTCCCCTCGTACCAGCTTTCGAGTAAGCAGTGTGGTCTTATGAGGCCTTTGGCCAATGTCCCCTCTTCTCCTCCCTAGCTCTGGCAGCCACCGTCTACTCTTTGCTTCTTTGAATCTGATGTTTTCAGATTCCGCATATAAATGAGATGACATAGTACCCGCCCTTCTGCATACTCCACTCAGCACAGTGTCCTCCAGGTTCATCCGTGTTGTTATAGTGATGGGATTTCCTGCCTTTTTTTTTTTGTGTGGCCAGCTCAGCCCACCAGGGGGCGGGGGTGGCTGGCATGTGGTGCTGGGGGATTGAACCGCGGTCCCTTTGCTTTGCTTAGCTTAGCTTGTTCTAAGTAGGTGCTTTAGACCA